TACTAATCCGGCCTCCTTATTAATCAGGGTTTTTGGCAGTCAAACAGAAATTTACTCTGCCGGTAGACTCGGCACCATCGACCGCGAAAATACAGCGTGGGTCTTTGTGACAAGTACACGTATAGCCGCACCCCAAATGCACACTCACCCATATTCCACAGCACCCCTATACCTGGACCACAGATAACCTACCTTTGCACGGACTTATAAACGAAAATCAAAACGTGTAGTTCTCTAAATTAGTGCCCCGTTTTAAATCCCAAATATACCCTAAACCCTAAACCCCTTACAAAAAGGACCTCCAAAAGGACCTTAATTTAGAGAACTACCCAAAAGAAGGATCCGGAAGAGGCAGGTATAGACTCACCCAGAACCCTAAACCCATACTCGGAGGCTCAGGGGACTTAGTGACTCGACTTTAAGTTGGGCTATAGTTGGGGTATCTCCTTTTAGAATATTTAGAACTCGACTTATATCCTACTTACTGGGTATCTAGGTATCGGTTATCTTATACTACAAGTATACCATATATTTTAATAGCCAACCACAAAACCCTATTCTAACTAATAAGGCCCTTACATTATTCCCCAGGGAGCCCTGTAGAGAGTCATCAAAGTCCCACATGAACTGCGCAAAACCACCTGAAATCTTGGGCTCAGACAGCGGCTGCGGATAGCCACCTAAGTCTGGGTCTCTTTTTTTAAGATGCAATGGCCTTTCTCCGGTTTAGGGTTTAGGGTTTCGGGTTTAGGGCTTAGGGTTTACGATTTAGGGTTTAAGGTTTCAGGGGTTCTTGTGAAGGGGGAACCCAGGGCTCCTTAAAGCGATCTGTATCCAAGGGTTCCTCAAAACTCAGAGTTTGTGAAGGAGATCTATAAGTAAGGGTTCCTTATAGAGATCGATAACTAAGAGTTTGTTAAGGAGATCTATAATTCAGGGTTCCTTCTAGAGATCTATGATTAAGGGCTCCTCAGAGGGATCTATGATTTAGGGTTGGTGGGAACCCAGAGACTCCGATACCCCATAACTGAGGAATAGACCTTGAATTATAGTAGGGCTCCCTTATATGGTCTAACTAAGGGATATTGGAGTCTGGGAACTTAACTTCAGCTACCACAATGAAGAAACCCCAGATTATTTGTAGATGATGGTAGCTTGAATTAAGTTCCCTTATGTCATGACTTAAAGGAGATCGTGAAAAGAGTCATACAGAAGCCTACATGTACTATAAAAACAACCCAAAAGCCTACTCTACTTCTTAAGGCTCCAATGTTCGAATCCAGGATTCGCAGCAGTAGAGGACAAATGAAGCTTTAAGGGTTCCGTTCAGGCTTTTTTTGGGGGAGGTTCTTGAAGGGCTCTTTTAAAGGCTCCTTTAAAATATCCTCTAAAGGCTTCTCTTTAAGGCGGCCGCCATGTATCGGTCGATTCTGAGAGGATCTGGCCGCGCCTGTTCCAAGAATTGCACGAGAAGCAGTAGTCGCAGTAGCAGCGCAGCAGTGGCAGAGCAGCAGTCGTAGCAGTAGTAGTAGTAGTAGTAGTAGTAGTAGTAGCAGCAGCAGCAGCAGTAGTAGTAGTGGTAAGGTAGTAAGGTAGTAAGGTAATAAGGTGGTAGTAGTAGTAGTAGTAGTAGCAGCAGCAGTAGTAGCAGTAGTGGTAGTGGTAGTACAAGCAGTAGTACGACGACGACAAGAACTACTCGGACTACTGCGGCGGCTGGTACTTCTACGAACATAGCGTCCATCACTACTACCACTTGCTGTGACGCTGCAGAAAGGGCAAGGCTTGCCCGCGCGCCTTCCAGCGTGACAGGCGAGGAAATCGCCCAATATGCCATTGTCATGAGCATGAAATGAGGGGGTATTGTCAGATGTGGGGTTAGGGTTCCGGTTTAAAGATTCCTGCCAGCCGGATCTATAATTAGGAGATCCTGCTGTGATAAACCTCCCAAGTGTTGACGCTCGAAGCTGGTTCTCTTGTCATTCTTGCCGAACCAACATCAATACTCATTCCATCACTGGGCAAGATGCGATTCCGCATGAGTGTAATGTATGAGCCTTGCGACTTGTGCTAGCACCTAAACCCTAAACTCGAAACCGTTGCTAGCATCTGTCATTCCACTTCGTCTCTGTACGTCTCAAAACAAGCTGTTTCGGGGCAGCTTCCTGCTGCATCTTGCTGGTGTTTCGGAAAAATGACAATCCTGCAAATGCCTGCGAAGCTGGACGTCTTCCAAAGACCTTAAGTAAACAATACCTATACCAACCCTTAGAACCATAATAATAGTAATATGTTTAATATTCTCTTGGGTTTTATATGAACAAAGATAAGAAAACAATTCCTAAGGAGACTATAGATAAAGACTGCAGGCCCTCAAACCTTGAACCCAACATCCTAAAACCCAAACACCACAGTTACAATCGAATTGCAAAGCCTACCCACGTAGCCCTTGATGATTAGAAGAAATACTCTAGGGGCCTTTAAAAAATGCATCTACTATTTTGGTGGCTCCGTATTATAAGTATGGTATAACGGGCCCCAGAACCATATTCTAACTATTAAGACCCCGCATAGTGGGGTTTGAGGTCCAAAAATGTTTAGGAACCTACTGTTGCTGCATATTCAGGCCCCCTTCATCGGAACCCTAAAACCCTTCTTATAGTAACCCTTACAGACCCCTTTTTCAGAGGCCTCTAATTATAGTCACCCTTATAGACCCCTTTTTTCCGAGGCCTCGAAAAGGAACTCTATTCTTTAGTCCCGTTTAACAGCCCTTTTCTAGAACTCTGTTCTATAGTCCCTTGACAGGAACCCTTTGAAAGGAACCCTGTTCTTTAGTACACGGCAGCTTCAGAAGGGAATTCCTCGTTGCTTTAAGGCCTTTCTTGAAAGGCTACAGAGAAGGTTCGATAGGGGTGTCAACCTTTGCGGGGCTTTAATCATAGTTGGAATCGGGTTTTGGGCTACTTCCCAAAATCATTACCCTAACCATCCAACCCTGGTATGTACTGTAGTTGATACGCGAGCCACCCAACAGGCTGACTGGATGGGGACAATGTGCAGCATGCGGGAGGCCAGGCAGGGAGGGCGGAGCGGCAGCACATCGCTGACGCTGGAGCATGCGTTATCTAACGTGCGGGGTGCCTGGGAAGGGTTCTGAAAAGAACCGCTCGCAGAGACCGGGACGTTGTGGAGCATGCAAGTGCGGGTGGCTGCCACGTGCGCGGGTGAGGCTAGGACTCGCACACGTGGACACTCCCACGTTGGATTTGTGACCGGGAAAGAAGCACGGCTTCTCACTACGCTTGCTGCACTGCTGGGTCACCATCACCGCCACCATAACTACGGCAAGAGCTGCTGCTGCTCGTACCACCCAAACACCACCACCCCCAGGAGCCGCTGTTTAGGGTTTAGGGTTTAGGGTTTAGGATGATAGGGCGACTTAAGAAGTAGAACCGGGGCTTTGGGGTCTGTTCTCGTGTGGTTTGAAGGGATCTTACTGCGAATGATTAATTCACCTCTATTATATGGGAGTTTCTGAGAATAGGGAACCCTAGTAAAGTACCCTAAGTAGTAGAATCATTATTATAAGGACCTCCGAATAAGGTACCCTAATTTTCGGAAACTCCCATATAGTTCAAGAGACCCCCTCAGGCCTTGGGGTTCGGGGGTCTGGAGGGTTTAGGCTTTAGGGTTTGGGGTTTATTAGAGTTTGGGGTTAGGGTTTTAGGGGTTAGAGGTTAGGGGTTTAGGGTTCAGGATTTTGTCAACCGCCTTTGGAATGCTCGCATGATCTGCGTGGTATGTTGAACCCACGCGAAAACAGAGAAGACAGAATCCCTCCGGCTGCCATTAGAGCAGCCGTGCGGGATGCTGCACCCGGAGCCTCAGGATCCCTCTTAAAAGGACCCCTCATAAGGTTCCATTTGGGATTATGTTGGGGTTTTGAAAATCAAGAGGGCTCCTTTGCCAGCGATTCGCATGGGTATGGAGTCTCCAGGTCGCAGTGCGGCAGTACGGAGAAGAGACGGTCAATATCCCGCGCTTGAAATTTTAGGGTTTAGAGTTTTGGGCTTTGGGTTTACAGTAGAAGCCAGAAGTTGGAATATCATTATCGTAACCCCTTTAAGGTAAATTATGGGGGATCCTACCATTAATCCATATTCCAACTTTCTGGAGTTCCCTTTATTGTTTGTTGAGGGTTTGGGATTTAGGGTTCGGCTTTAGGGAGTCGGGCTTCGGTCGAAGTCATGTAGGAACTCGACCCAAGAAACCCTGGGTTCTATACCATACCCCCCGTCAAGAAGAGGTCGGATCTATCTGAAGAACCGTCTAGCAGCAGCCTCAGCTTTCTGAATTTGGGTTTAGGGTTTAGGGTTGTATCTCAGTCAGAGCAGTAAGCTCGGGGTAGTGTCCATCGGTCCGTATTGAGGGCAAGGTAGGAAATCACGTGTTTCCAAAACTCACGGAAGCACCTGCGCTGCTTCGAGCTCTAGCGCCGCCATTTAGAAACATTTGCAGTAACAAAGGAGCCGTAGCAGATAGGATCGGCGTTGGGGGGGCCATAGCATACTATGGTTCTGACTAATGTAGGAACCTGATTATGAAACCTTGGGCCTTTGTCAGGGTTCCCTATATGAATCCTGCTATTTTGGGTTATAGGCCCAGGGTTTCTAAAAGCAGGTTCCTACAATATTTCAGTACCCTTATAGATCCCTTACAGTAACCCTTATAGACCCCTTTACAGGAACCCCTTAAAGTTTGGGCCCAGGGGTGGTTCCTACATTACCTAGGAGCCCTTCGGAGCACTGTTGGGAATCAGTCAGTCTCCCAGAGCCTACAATAGTTCCTTAAAGGGATCCTTAAAGGGATCCTTAAAGGGATCTATAAGGAATTAAGGACTATATCTTAAATCATAATAGGGATCCTATTATAATTTAAGGTATATTCCCTGATTAAGGGATATTAGAGTTTCTGGGCTCGTATGTTACCGCAGTTGCTCAGACGAGCACTGCATCCTGCTCCGAGAGACGGCGCTGGGAAACCTCAGGTTCGCGCGCATGTCAGCTCTTGCCGAGATCTCACAGTGGCCCTAGACGCTAAACCCTAAGCCACTTAGTTGAAAAACCCTAAACACTAAACCCTAAACCCCTAAACCCTAAACCCTAAACCCAAAACCCTACCCCGCTTAGTTGAAGAATTGCCTCATTGGGATGCCTCGCCTCCTCCGGCTTCGGCTCTTCCGCCGCCGCCGCTGCCTGTTCGGCCTTCTGCTTGTCGGCCTCCTTCTTCTTCGCGACCTTGACCTTCGTCTGCTTGTCCTGAAAATGAGGCCCCAGAAAAGCACGTAAGCAAAATAAGGATAGGGATATCCCACATAACTACTCTTACAATGAAGCCCGATAAGGTAGGGATATGTGCTTTTTGGGTCCCTAAGAAAGAGTCGCAGAGTTTGCGGCCCCCTCAACCTCAGGGGATGTCACGGGCTCCTTGTATTTCTGGAATGACTCCAGATCCACGTCGCTCTTGCCACCGCTCCAGTAGTCGTTCCTGGGCAATCTACAAGCTATTTTCTGTGCTAAGGCGCTTTCCTTACGCCTGGAAATGGATCCCCTAAACCCTAAACCCTAAACCCATCAAAGAATCTTGAACACGAAGAGGTAGCCCACACTGGCGTCGTTAACGCATTTGTTGAAGGACTTCACGGCTGGGATTTTCTCCTCAGAAAACGCAAATTTGCACGAGCAGCACAAGGGTTTAGCGTTTAGAGTTTGTCGGCTGAATGAGGTGCTTTGGAATCCAGCGAGGGCATGGCTGTCTGCGAACCCTTCCCTCTACTCCGTCTACCTCTCTCTTCTTCTCTTTCCCGTCCCATCAACACTGCAGACCCGGTGCCATGCCATCGAAGGTGAGAGCCCTTGGCAGCAGCTTCAGGCATGGCAAGTGCGACTGGCTCTGAACTGCATCACTTAATTCAGGGGCCTTACTAATTTGAATAGGGCTTTGAAACAGTTATAATGAGGAGCCCCCAAAGTAGTATAGGTAACTACTAAGGCCCCTATACTAAACCCCCATAATATCCCTTAGAGTAATCCTTAAAGACCCCTTTAAAAAGAACCCTTAAGGATCCCTTTCAAGGAACCCAAACAAGTATAGGTAATTATGAAGGCCCCTCAGTATTTCGGAACAGCTCGGGGCTCTCGGGCTTCGTCGGCACCGGGAACAGCAAGCTGTGATGAAGCTATGTCTGCTTGGTTTTGGGTTTAAGGTTTTGGGCTTTGGGTTTTGGGCTTTGGGTTTTGGGATTAGGGTTTAGTGTTTCAGATCACTTGTGCTGACACTTCTCTAGATGAATGCTACTTATCCTGTACCATAACTCCCATGGTTTAGGAATGCAGGATTTATATTATCAACAGTATCACCATACTGGCCAGCGTCTGCTTCGTGGCACCTGCCTTTCCTTCTGTCATAACGTCTGCGATGACATTGAGGCTGCCGAGTTTGACGATGCGCTCCTCCTGAGACACGTGCCATGTTGCACAGAATCTTGAGAATACTTATTATCAGTAGTATAGTATCATGATGGTTACCATGACAATAATATAAATACTGACGTTATAGCTATTACAATATGAACGGTTTTACGCATGGTCGTGCAACCCACGGAAGCGGCCGATAACGCCATCCGCTATCAGTGGTACCTGGCGGAATACTGGGTATAGCTGCAACTAGGTTCTTGTTAAGGGATTTAACTCTAAGCTACCATAATAAAGAAGCCGTATTATTTACCGTAGATCCCTACTATAGTATCCTAGATTAATTTCCTTAGCAAGAACCCAGGCACTCGGGCTTCGACACCCCGAACTGCATGAATGCCCTGGGTTAGTTTTTTACAAGTCACGACTCAGCAAGAGAGCCGTGGAACAGGAGTGATGGGAGGCCAAAAGGGCGGTTTAAGATTCTTGGGGTAGGGATTCCTTAATATGAACCCTATTATGGGAACCCTAATCCCTACTAAACCCCCATAGGCTAAAGCCCCTTTTGGCCTCCTATGAAGGATGATCGAGGGTTGACGCGGCTTCACTGCCTGCTTTGGCATTCTTCATGTTCTCATATTCAGCTGGAAACCTGCTGCATGAATTTACCGCTCATGGAGCAAGACCCTGTACACATGCCACCCGACCTTTTTTCGGAATGGGCCTGTCCTGCCTTCACCCACGCCGAAGCAGCCTCTAAGCTCTTCTTGATCCAAATCCAAACACGAAGCTGTACACTCAGTTCACCATCGCTCATGCCCTTTTGTCCGAGTTTGACATGGCATACTGTAAAGGCCTTAATAATCAGAATAATTAGGGTTTGGGCGCCCGTCTTGCTATACTTAAGATGAGGGGAACCCCACAAATAGCATAGTCAATCATTTAGGCCCCTAGATTAAACCCACTGGCGCCCGCACCCGCACCTTGATTATACTACAAACATAACAAGGAACCCCCCAAAAAAATTAGGTCCCTTCATTTAACCCTCTAATGCCCCCACTAAACCCTAAACCCTAAACCCGGCACCTTGAGGTGGCCCTTCAGGTTGCCTTCGTTGACGGCCGTCATGCCTTCCAGGCACTTGCCAAGGGGGCCTTTGCCGATGTACCTGGGTTACCGTCACTGCAAGCAGGGGCTTAGGGTTTAGGACATAAAGGCTTAGGAGGACATACCCAAAAAAACTCCACACCCGGTTAATCAAGGAAGTATACCTTACATCACCTTAGGGTTTAGGGGTTTAGGGTTTAGGGTTAAGGGGCTAGAGCGCGAGCTCTGCCAAGAAGAGCCCAAGGTGCGCCAAACTCCCCAGATTCTGCTGCAAAATGCGCTCAACGACGCCGTACGTCGCGATTTTGCCCTTCGTCATGCCCACGACGTCATCCTGGTGAAAGGCGGCGGAAGCACCGACATCGCTAAAGCAATGGCCCCTTATGTGAGGCGTAACCTTGAAAGAACAATCTTCTTGTCAACGGAGACAGCAAAATTGCGCGCCGGAAAAACTCTCTTCATCTACTTCAGTGGAGCTTCCTACGAGCTAAATACATGTCGCAGCTCTTGCTAATGGTTTAGGGTTTTGGGCATAGGGTTGCATCCTGGACATCGGCTGTTGCAACCAGAGGACACGGCCTGCTTTTCTTCGTTGCTGGAGCTGAACCTATCTGAAACTGTCTCAGCCCATGTCAAAATCAAGATCCCTCTTTCTATTATAATACGGCACCTATAATTTACGGTACCCAAAAGAGGGACCCTAGTTTTAAATACCCACTTGGGTTTAGAATCTAGGGTATACTTGGGCATTCGACTACTTTGCCGGCATGTTCATGTACGGGCCTTAACAATTAGAATAGGGTTTTGGTGCCCATTATACTGTTATGATTATACTAAGGTACCCCCAAAATAGTATCGGTAATTATTTAAGCCTCGATATTGAGAGAGCTTTCCTGAAGACAAGAATCAATAATCCTTCCGCGGCGTCCCCCAAGAGACTTCAAAATCCCTGAATTAAGGAATATTCCTTAAATCATGTTAGGGATCCGATTATAATCTAAGGTATATTCCTTAATTAAGGGCTATTGGAGTCTCTGGGCCCTAAACCCTAAACCCTAAACCCTAAACCTCTGGGCCCTGCTAATCTTTCGCGATCCCCTTCGACCTTCACAGCCCGAAGACCTTCAGTCAAAGGGGAGAAGGAGGGACCCTTAATGGGGACCCCTACCCTATAATGGGCTATAGAATGGGGATATAATAGCTACATTGAGGGTATATACCTAGGGGTCCTTATTATGAAGTTACCATAATAGGGACCTATAGTGAAAGAGTTACGGTTTCCTTGTCATGGTACCTTCAAGTAAACTCCTTAATAAGAGCCCAGTGTGCAATTGCTGCCCAAGCTCCGCGCACATTTGGGCAGGCACGCAATTCGCGGCATAGCTGTGGTCAGCATGAGCGCTGTTCTGAAAGACCAAGAAATAGGAACCTCGGCGTACATGTATATTCTTTGCTGTGACCTTGGAGGGAGGCACTCCTGGTAGTAACTCGAGTGTGGTAAAGTATAGCAGGTTATAGCAGATTATAACGTAATACAGTATGTGATAGTGTAGTATGGTATGGTATATGAAGTATAGTACCGAAAAAAGTATATCCTGCCAGGGAGCATTCAGGATTGGCTTGGCTTGATCGCTCATGTTCTCCCATCTTGCGGCAGGAGGAGTACTTGAAGAGCTCCTCAGAGATCTCAGCCTTCGTGCCGTAGACCCTCGGTCGGCGAGCTATGGCATCGATGGCAGGGTCTAGATTTTTAGTTAGGGTTTGGGGTTTAGGGTGTGGGGTTTAGGTTTAGGGTGTAGGGTTTTGGGTTCGAGGTTTGGGGTTAGATTAGGGTTTAGGGTTTAGGGTGTAGAGCAATGCATTTTGGAGGTGAAAGGGTTTAGGACCTCAGACGCAAAACTAGGAAAGACTGCTCGGAGCGCCCTCTGAGCACGAGTTTGTGTTGACGTCGTTCTCCACCTGCGCCGCGTCACCTGCCAGCTTTGCAGGTTTGAACCTTAAATCCTAAACCCCTACACCCCAAACCCTAAACCCTAAACCCAAATCCCTCAAACCCAAACCCTAAACCCCTAAGCCCTCAACCCCAAACCCTAAACCCTAAAGCCTGGCAGCAGCTCGGGCTAGAGAGCTGAGAATTTCTCCGGGTCAGGTTCCAGCTTCGGGATCCTGACTTTGAAAACTACGCCCTTTGCCAATCCCAGTTCGGACGGCCGCCATGTCCACGTGACGCAAGCAAGCAAGCAAGCAAGCAAGCCTCCTGCATTACTACCCAGAGACTCCAATATCCCTTAATTAAGGAATATTCCTTTAATCATGTTAGGGATCCTACTATAATTTATGGTGTATTGCTTATTTAAGGGGTTTTGGAGTCTCTGAGTATGCTTCTTGGCAGGGTCCTGGTTCTTCTCGTCCTTCTCCATGTCTTGTTGCTCTCGCACTACTCTGACGAACACGAAGCTCGTCATGATTGTCTCAACGAGTATCATGATTATCCCTAAACCCTAAACCCTAAACCCTAAACCCTTATCCCACCCTAAACCCTAAACCCAACCCGCTCACAGGAAACGGGTGCCCTTTTGCAGCAGCTTGCGAACTGTGACCTGCCGGACTACAGGGATTTCAGGGACTACTTGGAGGTTCATGGGTAGTTATAAGGGTTCCTTCAAGGGTCCCTTTTAAAGGGATCTATAGCGATTCTATAAGGGTATAGTAGTATAGGGGTTAAGGGACTACTTGGAGGTTCATGGGTAGTTATAAGTGGAGTTATAAGTAGGGTAACTATAGTTGTAATGCATATTAGGGGGCTTATAACCCTACTTATAACTACCCATGAACCTCCAAGTGCCCAAGTCTGAGAACAACAAGCACATCATCGAGGGGCCTTGATCCCTTAACAATTAAATATGGTGTTTTTGGGGGGGTATCTTCTGCTGTCGCCATAATAAGGCACCCTAAGGAATCATATTGGTAGTCATCTTGGCTTCTATATGCCTAGAAGACTGAACCCGCGAGCCCCAAACCCACTAAAACATGCAAACTGCCGGACCCTACGAACCCTGAACCCTAAACCCTAAACCCTACACCCTAAACCCTACACCCTAAACCCTAAACCCTAAACACATGCAAACTACCGGACCCGACGGGCCTGGAGCACTGCAACACTCTCCCATCAGCTCGAGCTTGCCATAGCGAGGACTGGCCTGGCATCTTCGAGGGCAGTGCCAGAAACTCGGTTTAGGGCTTTCTACCCAGAGACAGAGACTCCAATATCCCTTAATTAAGGAATATTCCTTAAATCATGTTAGGGATCCTACTATAATTCAAGGTATATTCCTTAATTAAAGGTTTTTGGAGTCTCTGGGAAAGCAGTGCCAGAAACTCGGTTTAGGGCTTGCTATAGGGGCCTTAATAATTCGGGTTGGGGAGTAGGGAAGTTATACTAGAACGATGTTAAGGACCCCCCCAAAAAAGTGGCATTGGTAATTATTTGGACCCCTATATTAGGTGTTCTTTGGAACGCCTTTGTCAGGTTAGGGGTTTTGGTTTGTTGTTGAACGCCTTTTTCCGGCTTAAGGTTTCGGGTGCCAGAGACGACAACACTTCCCCAGACAGCATGCATCTATGCCTGCTTGAAGGGTCGGGGGACTTAGCAAGTAGGAAGTAAGCTGATTTATAAGTACCCTAAAAGGGACACGAATTGTGGCTATGGTGCTTATAAGTCCATAAGATAACCAGTTCCTAAGTCCCCCGACCCTCCAAGTGCCATGCCCACAAAGCAAAGTTGCTGTAGACAGAAGCTGCGGCTCTGTTGCGTGCACGCCTTCAAGGCCCGAGCTTTTCTCGACAAGCGGAAAACCGATAACACAGGGGCCTCAATAACTAGAACAGGGTTTTTGGGGCCCAATATACTGCGATCATAATGATTAATAAGGAACCCCCCCAAATAGTATGGGTAATTATTTAGGCCCCTATATTTAGCATCCTTGAACTCATCCCGGAGAAGCCCGAACACTGTCTTGCGCAAATGCTGCGCAAATTACACCCCCTCAACTTGCACACTGCACTGACACCCTAAACCCTACACCCTAAACCCTAAACCCCCTCAACTTCCACGTTGCACTGACAGCCCCGACGCCGGAAGTAGCATGAGTGCAATTAGGACCCTAGGCTTTTAGGGTTAGGGTCAAAGGGTCAAAGCGTTTTTGAGTTTAGACTTTAGGGTTTAGGGTTTTGGGGTTCTGGAGTTTAGGCTTTAAGGTTTAGGGTTTTGGGTAGCGTGATGAGGGAGACCCCTTAAAGGGTACCCCTTCCGAACCCTACTTCTGGCTCTCTTAAAAGGGGCCTTATTGAGAGGGTGTATATCCCCAAGGGTCCCCCTAATCCAGGTTTGTGGGGGCCGGGGCTGACAGCAAGATGCTTGAAGTAGCATGGGTGCGCGGGCCTGCCGCAAGGACTCCGCCTTGTCCTCACGGGCTTCATGGGTAGTCATAAGGGTTCCTTCAAGGGTCCCTTTTAAAGGGATCTATAGCGATTCTATAAGGGTATAGTAGTATAGGGGTTAAGGGCCTACTTGGAGGTTCATGGGTAGTTATAAGTGGGGTTATAAGTAGGGTAAGTATACTTATAACTGTAACTCATATTAGGGGACTTATAACCCCACTTATAACTACCCCTAAACACTATAAAGCCCTATAGAACCCTTAAAGGAACCCTATAACCCCACTTAGAACTACCCATGAACCTGAAGTAGGGATTCCGAAGTTCGTGAGTTGGTGATTTCGGGCTGCACGCTGCTGAACGCTGCTGGCTCCTTCGTCAGTGCACATCTCATGATGGGGGTCTCCGGGAGAAAGGCCTAGTGTAGGAACCTGATTCGAAACCTTGGCTTTATTAGGGTTCCTTATATGAACCCTGCTATTTTGGGGTTCTGGGCCCAGGGTTTCTTCAATCAGGTTCCTACATTACATTACGACATCTACGATAACTGGCCCCGGGGATATGAGCGGAGTCTGAGATCATGGAGTCTGAGGACGGCCGGGTCAAGCCTCACCGGCCCAGACCCTTTTTGGAGGATCCAAAAAGTGGATCCCTTAATGGGGGTTTAGGGTTTAAGGGTTCAGGGTTATGGGTTCCTATAAAAGTACCCTTAGTAATATAGGGCCCCAAATTAGGGCATCTACTTTCTAGATCCTCCAAAGGGGGTCTGGGGGGCAGACGCTCGGTCGCGCACTCGGAACCCTCAGGCACAGCGCTCGGTCCTTGAAGTTCATCCCAGCAAACTCCTGCCGGGCAACAGGCTTCTTTCAGGTTAACCAGAGAATCCCAGGAGGCTGATAGTCGCTAAGGATCGTAACCGTTTAACTTCTTGCGCAAGTAGTTGCATGTAGAGAACCTGAAAACCCTAAACTGCGGTACTGCCCCCACTCAGTAACAGTTGGCTAATATTCATAGTATAGATATATTAGGACCTTAATAGTAGCCCTTTGATAGACTGCTACTGTATGGGGGTAGCAGCCAACCCTAAACCCTGAACCATAAACTCTAAACCCTAAACCCTAACCCCAAACCCTAAACCCTAAACCCTAAGCCTAAACCCTAAGCATGCGAACTCGCGGAGCTCCCCGGCGCCTGGCCAGTGACAACCGTCGCCTCGCGCTTGTAGGCATCGCCCAGCGCGATCAGTGCAAACGGGATGAGGCGGCTGAGCATGACCTTTTTGGGTTTAGGGGGTTTAGGGTTTCGGGTTTAGGGTTTAGGGTTTAGGGTTTAGGGGTTTAGGGGGTTTAGGGTTTAGGGGGTTTAGGGTTTAGGATTTTTCAACGGCGGTTTCAGGTTTTAGGGTTTGGGTGTTGAGGGTTCAGGGTTTTAAGGTGCAGGGCTTAGGGCCTGAAGTTACTTTTGAGTCGTGCGGACGAAGTCCGTATGCTGCGGCATCCACTTGGGTGGTTGTCAAAATTGGGGTCCGTTTTGGGGTCCCTATTATAATACGGCACCCAATATTTAGGGTACCCCAAAAGGGACCTTAATTTTGACAACCACAATTTTGGAGGTTCAAGGGTAGTCTAAGTGTTGCTATAGGCGGAGAAGTTATACTTTTCACCCGTATACTAACCCCACTTCTTACTACCCATGAACCTCGAAGTACACCGTAAGCCCTGCAACCCGAGACTTGTAACTACGCATGAACCTCTAAGAGGGAGCCCCGAGAATGTCCAGGAACCCCACGTGTCAATACAGCAGTGGAAGTGGAACTCTAAACCCCTAAACCCTAAACCCCTAACCCCCAAACCCGAAATCCCAAGAATCCCTAGCCCCAAGATCCCCTAAACCCCTAAAACCTCTGAACCCTCGGTTCCCTTTCTGCTTCCACGGGACCTCCGATTCGTCACGTCGCGTTCAGGCGAAGGAATCGACTTCTTGAGCTCAACTTCACCGAAACAAAGCACATGCGCCAGTGGTGGTACTGCCAGTGGTGGTAGTGGTAGTCATAGTAGTAGTAGTAGTAGTAGTAGTAGTAGCAGCAGCAGCAGCAGTAGTAGTAGTAGTAGTAGTAGTAGTAGCAGTAGTAGTAGTAGTAGTAGCAGCAGTAGTAGTAGTAGTAGTAATAGTAGTCGTGGTAGTAGTCGTAGTAGTAGTAGTAGTAGTAGTAGTAGTAGTAGTAGTAGTAGAAATAGTAGTAGTAGTAGTAGTAGTAGTAGTAGTAGTAGTAGTAGTAGTAGCAAAAGTAGTGGTCGTAGTAGTCAGTCGTACTAGTAGTAGTCGTAGTAGTAGTAGTAGCAGCAGCAGCAGCAGGAGTACTAGTACTAGTAGTAACAGTAGCGGTAGCAGTCTGTTGCCTATTAGTGCTTCCGGTTGAGGGGCAGGGTTGGGGTTTAGGGATCCGAAGCCTTTCGCACGTCTTTTCTCCAGGAATGCTGCAGACAATCGGACAGGTATGAAGCACATCCGCTCAGTACCTGCCTATGACTGTAACACAGTACCAACGAGTGGCGGCCACCAACCCGAGCTTGGATCTCAATCACACAGAATCCTTTGGCTTCGGCAGCTTTCTCATGGCGGTGGGTGCTTAGGGTTCGCAAGCACCTAGCCCGGGAAAATGTCCGTGGTTCAACAGAGGTCAGCCGAAGTCATTGCTCCGATGCGTTGAGACGCACCAGCACCGCAGGCTGCGGCACTTGTGCGCCCCTGTCCGACAAGGACACCTCACGAATTTGGGAGTTTCGGAAAGGAACCCTCCTGTAGAACCATTAATCGCAGGTTCCTCATTGCCAAGACCCTTCAGAAGTAAACCCGAAACCCGAAACCCAAAGGACTCCTGCTTTTATGAAAACCCCATCAAGTAAGGAATATCCCTTAAACCAGAATATCAAAGCCCCTACGTAATTCCTTCATTTTTAGTAGGTATTCTAAACCCGAAACGCTTAAACCATAATGCCATGTCCCCTATAACTTAAGGTCTATTCCTCCATGAAGAGGTATTGGGCTCCCTGGACATGAAACTCCCATGTCTCAGACAAGGACTGCATCCTGCTCGGTGAGACGGCGTTTGGAGACTGGCGCTGCCGGGGCTGCCTCGCAACGCAAAATGGGGGTTTCCGAAAATAGGGGGCCCGAATATAATACCCTAAATACTAGGATCCTTATTACAAGGACCCAAAATGAGGTACCCCCTATTTTCGGAAACTCCCAAATAGAGCTTGTGGTTTAGGAGTCTAAGGTTTTAGTCTAGGCTGTGTAACCGTATACGCGTGGTGGGTGCGTTTCTTTTGAAATGGGGCGCACGCACTTCGCGCACGCTTGCATCAGCATGCAATCCCGCCCCAACCATCCCAACTATTCTCAATTAGGGTTTAGGGCTCACCCCCCAAACTTTCAAACCCCCTCAAGGAGGGTTTTCTTGCTCTCTGCTTCCCAAGCAACCACCAACTTTCAAGTGCCTTGTTACAACATGCTGCGCCCTGGCGTCAACCAACTTGTCTTCTGACACTGGGCCACTAGTTTTGGGCTTAGGTTTCTTGTAGCTGTAAAAGGGAGTGCAGTGCATCTTTACCGGTGTAAACTCCGCGTGATTAAAACTTGTATGATGTTCAAGCCCGGATGATTGCTCCTATTTCGTAGTGCGCCCAACCCGCGCTCACAGCCACCGCGATGGCGGACGATCCGTGGCAACAAAAATGTTTGTTTGCGCATGATTAGTGATTGGTGTTTACTACAGCCGAGTCTTAATAATTAGCAGAGGTTCTCGGTTTTTGCTGAAATCCAAGTGTAATCAGGAACCCTAAGGAAGGATACTGGTAATATTCTTAATCTTTCAGGCTTCTTCTTGTTAGCTGCTCCCTCCACCCCTAAATCTCTGATGAAACTGCCCAGAGACTCCAATATCCCTTAATTAAGGAATAGTCCTTAAATCCTATTAAGGATAAGGAATATTCCTTAATTAAGGGAGTCTCCGGGTGTCCCTAAACCCTAAACTCGCCTCCTCCGGCGTCGGCTCGGCCTCTGCCGCCGCCGCCGCCGCCTGGGCCTGTTCGGCTTTTGCCTGGTCGGCTGCCTTCTTCTTCTCCACCTTGATCTTGGTCAGCTTCTCCTGAAGTGTTTAAGGTTTGGGGTTACGGCCCTAAACCGGAAACCCTAAACCCTATAAACCCTATAAGCCCTATAAGCCCTATAAACCCTAAATCCTATAAGCCCTGTAAAAACCTTAAATCCTAAACTCTAGAGACTCTAGAAACCCGATGTGGCCTAAACCCTATAAACCCTAAACCCAGAAAACCCAAAACCCCATTAACCCTATCAACCCTAAGCCTACAAGCCCTCAACCCTAGACCTTTAGGGTCTCTGACCAGCTGAAGACTGCTTGGAGGGTCGGGGGACTTAGTAACTGGTTATTAGAATTTTAGGGACTTGTAAGTACCATAACCCCCAACTAGGGTCTCTACTTACTACCTACTTACGAAGTCCCTGAATCCTAAACCCTAAACCCTATATAGTACCCCTATAGAGCCTTTTAAAGGAACCCCTAGAATCCCCTTTAAGGAGTCCCATATTTACTAAGTCCCCCGACCCTCCAAGTGGAGAGCAGATCACGGCGCCTTCTTCTCCGCAAAGGCACCGAGGTCGAGGTCGCTCTTGTCACCGCTCCAATACTTGTTCCTTAAACGGATCTTAGGGTTTTTTTAAGTGCAGTGACGTGCCTAAAGAAAAGACACGTCACTGCACTAAAACATCCTAATATCCCTTTAAGGAACAAGTCTTAGGGTTTAGGGTGTAGGGTTTAGGGCTCTAAGGGGGTTTTAGGGCTACTTGAAGGATGGTGGCGTGGGTAGTTTCTTGAATTAAGGGTTCCTGCGTACCCAAAGACTCCAAAACCCTTTAATCAAGGAATACACCTCATGTCATCGTACGGTTCCTATCATAATTTGAGGTATATTCCCCAATTAAAGGTTTTGGAGTTCTGGGTAGCTTGTCGAAGTTAGGGTCCTCTTTTCAGAGTTTTGTCAAGGTATCTAAAAGGGCTCCTTTATGGGTAGTTCTCGAAATCAGGGTCCCAGTTAGGATCCATTTAAGGGTTTCTATAGGGGTGCTATGGTACTATATGGGTAATTCTCGAAATTACGGCCCCTGTAAACATCCGTTTATAAGGGTGCCACCTGCATTTGGTGTTCCTAAAAAGGGACCCGAATTTAGAGAACTACCCGCCTGGGCCCCGGATGCATGCTAGGTGTTCCGAAACCCAAAGCATCCCATTTTGATTGGGCTTCTTACGCTACTTCCCGACCTAAACCCCTGATTGTTCTAGAGCTTGTAGGGCTGTTTCTAGGCTGTGTAATACTGGTATAGCATAGCTAAGCCCTGGTCTTCATATAGGGTTTAGAGGGCCACGTTCCTGGTGTTCTGGTCCTACTGTGTGTCAACCTCGATGAAGGCATGGTCCGAACAGCATCTAGCGGTATCAACTTCACTAAGCAAAAATGCAGGGTCCTAAATAATTACCAATACTACTTTGGGGTTCCTTATAACTAATGTATATAATATACCCCCAAAACCCAATTCTAACTGTTAAGGCCCCTGCATAATGTGTATCGCGTGTCCTCACAGACGGATGCCATTCACAAAAGCGTGAGTTAGGGCTGAGATACTGACTCGAGACATTCGCAATGATACGGCCGAATGTCAACACAGGCTTTTTCCGTTTGTATGCGGAGAAGTCTATTCAACACTGGTTGGGCATAATCTCATCCAAGGTTCCCGAAGACGAAGAGGTAACCCACGCTGGCATCGTCAACGCATTTGTTGAAGCTCTTGACGGCTGGAATTTTCTCCTCAGCCACCAATTAGGGTTCAGGTGTCATTGAAGAAATGCTCACAAAGCTCTCTAAGCACATAGACCTCAACAGCAGCAGCACACTTCCCTTGGCTCGAAAAGTGCTGGGTTGAAGGGGGTTTGAGGATGCTTCCTGAGGCACTCCAAACTCCTAGGGACCCTTAGGGGGGTAATGGGGGGAAGATACTTCCTTAAATCGGCTTTACTAAGTCCTGATTATGGGCATTAAGGCCCCCTACTTGGAGGGTCGGGGAACTTAGTAAGCAGGTAGTAAGTAGACTTATAAGTACCCTAAAAGGGACTCTAATTGGGGTTATGGTACTTCTAAGTCCCTAAAAGAACCAGTTACTAAGTCCTCCTAGAAACCCCTATAGATCCCTTAAAGGAACCCCTTATAGAAACCCCTAGCTACTAAGTCCCCCGACCCTCCAAGTAAGGGTCCCTATGACCAAATGCAGGCTCGGCACCATACCATCAAACTGGAAAGTCCTCGGACGGGGATCTGGCTTCGGGGAGGCACTGAGCTGCTTCTTGATACCTCGCTAATTAAAATATGTTCAGGGGTTTATGGTTTAGGGGTTTAGGGGTTTAGGGCAGGGTTTAGGGTTTCGGTGAAAATTCCAGAAGACCTGCACTATATCGAACCCTGAGGAACAGTATGGTAATGATTCAGATGCCAAAGATTGCCGTGTTCTTCCTTGAAGTAGCATGCTGAGCCCGAGCTCACTGCTCTAATCATCTTCATCCTACCCCCAGCCTAAACCCTAAACCGTAAGCCCCAAGCCCTAAACAACTCAAACCGTAACCCTGAACCCTAAATCCTAAATCCCACTCCTACACCCCAAACCCTGAATCCCGAAGCCTATTCCCTCAACCCCAAACCTCAAAGGGTAAAAGGAGGGGCCCTTAATAGGACCGCTAGGTATATACCCTTAATATAGCTATGATATACCCATTATTATAGCCCATTATAGGGTAGGGGTCCCCATTAAGGGTCCCTCCTTTTCCCCTTTGACTACACCCAGCGTCTTCTTCATGGCGGCAGCTTTCCCCTCCGAAGCGATGTCTGCCAAAATATTTAGGCCGCCGAGTTTGACGATGCGCTCCTCCTGAGACACTTGGAGGGTCGGGGGGCTCAGTGGGTACATTATAATTACAGTATAGTATCATTATAGTATAGTACTATTATAGTATAGTATTATGTCTGTCATGTTTCCACGAAGTGGCCTGCCTTCCTATCCATATGACATAACTGTGTACCAGTTATAAATAGTATAACGGTTGATGTTTACACAGAACGAGCCATGCCGTGATTTCAGGCTCTGTCTTGCGGTCTAATAACCAGGGAGTAACCTACACCCTGAACCCTAAACCCTGAACCCTAAACCCTAAACCCTAACCTCTAAACCCTAAACCCTGAACCCTAAACCCTGAACCCTAAACCCTAAACCCTAAACTCTAAACCCTAAACCCTGAACCCTAAACCCTGAACCCTAAACCCTAAACCCTGAACCCTAAACCCTGAATCCTAAATATTAGACCACAGCAAATCCCTCCAGAGGCGCCTTCATAAGTCCCTGAAGCTTGCCCTCGTTGATTGCTGTCATGCCTTCCAGGCACTTGCCGAGAGGGCCTTTCCCGATGTACCTGGGGCTTTTGGGGGCTTTTGGGTTTAGGGCTTAATTGTTTAGAGTGTAGGGGTACCTGGGTTTGCGGAGCTTTTGGGTTTAGGGTTTAAGGTTTAGAGTGTAGGGGTACCTGGCTTTGCGGAGCTTTTGGGTTTAGGGTTTAAGGTTTAGAGTGTAGGGGTCAGGGTTTGGGGTGCAGGGGAGTGAGTTGAAGGTCCAGGGATGACGGTTGTATATGAAGCCTTCATGGTTTCATGAGCAGATTTCCGGTAGGATCCAGACGGTCGGGTTCCCTTCAAGGGCATTCCATGAAGCCGCCCATTACGAGCACAAGGTCACCCATACTTCTACCAGGGTGCTTCAACCCTCCCAAGTTCTGCTGCAAAATCTGCATGACCACGCCGTAGGTAGCGACCTTGCCCTTCGTCATGCCCACGACGTCATCCTGGTGTAGGGCATACGGTTCAGGGGTTCGGCCCCAAACGCTGAATCCAGTGCACTAAACCCTGAACCGCAATTCCGATGGTGGCTCCGGGCTGTCGACATACTTGGAGGTCCAGGGGACTTTGAAAGTCGGTTGCAAGTAGGGCTGTAATCGGGCTAACTCCACTTAGGGCACTTATAACTCTACTTCAATAACTCTACTTATAACCTACTTACTAAGTCTCTTGGGCCTCTAAGTAGCGACCTATGCCTTGGCTGCCGAAGCTATGCTGGGCTCTTGTTAAGGGATTTAACTTCGGTTACAGTACCATAATAGGGACCTATAGTGAAAGAGTTACGGTTTCCTTGTTATGGTACCTTCAAGTAAATCCTTAATAAGAGCCCCGCGTGCAATTGCTGCCGAAGCTCTTTGCACATCTGCGCCGGCACGCAATTCGCTGCATAGCCGTGGTCAGCATGCTTGGTGTTCTCAAAGACGAAGAAATAGGAGCCTTGGAGAGACCCGGAGCGTTAGTTAAGGAATGCCTAGGGTTCCTTTAAGGGATCTGCAAGGGATCTATAGGGTTGAAGGGACTCTAATATCCCTCAATACAGAGGCCTTTCATAATTAGAATGTTATAAGGGCTCCTTTAAGGGTCCCTCTAAAAGGATGTATAGGGATTCTATAAGGGTATAGGGTTTAGGGCCTACTTGGAGGTTCATGGGTAGTTATAAGTGGAGTAATAAGTAGGGTAACTATAACTATAAGGTACCCTTAGAGCTCCCGTTAGGGAGCCTTTTACACGGAACCCTTAGACATGTACTAGGGCCGCTATTTCCTTTTAAGTGCATTTGCGTCGCCTGCACTCCGAAAGCCTTTTCGGGCAAGGCACTGAATCTTCGGATTTGGGGTCTAGGGTTTTGGGATTTAAAATTTTGTTTTTTGAAAGCCTATTTTCCAGTCCGCCAAAACTATACTGAACTTAGAACCCTAGCAAAAATTATAATTGTAGCCATTTCTTAGGGATTATAATATCCAAAAATTAAAAAATATTTTTAAGCACCCCTAAGAAAACCCTAAACCTCCCAGAGGAAAGGCGACTGGGCGCAGGGCTTTCCCCGCCCAGGCTTCACACTGGGATTTAAGGTTTAGGGTTTAGGGATTTAAGGATTTGAGGTTTTGGGATTTAAGGCTTTAGGGTTTAGGGATTTCTTATGGTTGGGGGATGTTTTAAGGTTTAGGGTTTAGGGATGTTTTAAGGTTTGGGGCTTAGGGATGTTTTACGGTTTAAGGATTTGAGGTTTGGGGATTTAAGGCTTTAGGGTTTAGGGGTTTTTTAAGGTTTAAGGATTTGAGGTTTTGGGATTTAAGGCTTTAGGGTTTAGGGGTTTTGTAAGGTCTAAGGATTTGAGGTTTTGGGATTGAAGGTTTTAGGGTTTAGGGGTTTTGTAAGGTTTAAGGATTTGAGGTTTGGGGATTTAAGGCTTTAGGGTTTAGGGGTTTTGTAAGGTTTAAGGATTTGAGGTTTGGGGATTTAAGGCTTTAGGGTTTAGGGGTTTTTTAAGGTTTAAGGATTTGAGGTTTTGGGATTGAAGGTTTTAGGGTTTAGGGGTTTTGTAAGGTCTAAGGATTTGAGGTTTGGGGATTTAAGGTTTAGGGTTTAGGGGTTTTGTAAGGTCTAAGGATTTGAGGTTTGGGGATTTAAGGTTTTAGGGTTTAGGGGTTTTGTAAGGTTTAAGGATTTGAGGTTTGGGGATTTAAGGTTTAGGGTTTAGGGGTTTTGTAGGGTCTAAGGATTTGAGGTTTGGGGATTTAAGGTTTTAGGGTTTAGGGGTTTTGTAAGGTTTAAGGATTTGAGGTTTGGGGATTTAAGGTTTTAGGGATTAGGGGTTTTGTAAGGTCTAAGGATTTGAGGTTTGGGGATTTAAGGTTTTAGGGTTTAAGGATTTTTAAGCTTCAAGGTTTAAAACCCTAAACCCTAAACCCTAAACCCTAAACCCTAAACCGCTTTGGGGATTGAAGGTTTAGTGATTTAAGGTTTACGGCTTCGCAGAACTCGGGTTGAGGCCTTCGGGTTGCACAGGGTTTTGGGGGTTCCTTCAAGAGTGCTACCGTTATATGGGGTACCTTTAAGGGGCTCCCTTAAAGGGATCTATAGGGTTTGGGGGTTTAGGTTTTAGGATTGATGATAGAAATCCTGCATTACCTTAAGGACCCTAAACTATGGGAATTATGGTATATTCCTTATAGTCGGTAATGCAGGATTTCTATCATCAACCGTATATGGTTTTAGGACTTCGGTTTCGCCCTAACTCATCAACCCTGAACCCTAAAGCAAAAGCCTGAACCCTAAATCCTGAACAGTAAATCAAAAACCCTGTTTCCATTCACTGGGATGCCCAGTAACCTAGGAACAAAAAGGGCTCCTTTGTTGGTATTGGGCACCTTTAAAAGGAACCTAGGACTACAAAAAGGGAAAAAGTGTACTTCTGAGCATCATAGTGCAGGAACCCCAAATCAAGACCAAGAAGCAACCTTTGTTGGCTTGGTTCTTCTGCTCAAACTCCCTCATCTGGCGGCACTGGGTGCTGCCCACCTGATCTTTTATTGAGGAACCTGATACAAGTTATCATAACAAGGAAACTCTATTATTTACTAAAGATCCCTATTATGGTCCCGAAACCCTAAACGTTTAAAAGAACCCTGTTATGGTCCCGAAACCGTAAGCTTTCAAAAAACACATTATGGTCCCTAAACCCTCAACTTCCAAACAAACCCCACGTAGCTTAACAAGGACCTAGCCACCTTGAAAATCTCCTTGTCGACCTCCTTCATCTTGCCATACACCCTCAGTCGAAGATCGTGGGTTCCTCTAAGGGTTCCTTTAAGGGTTGTATAAGGCGTCTACCGCGTTTAGGGTTTAGGTTTTTCGGTTTAAGGCTTTTTGGGGCGGATAGGGTTTGGGGGTTTAGGGTGTCCAAGGTCTGGAGGTTTAGGGTCCAAGGTTTGGGGGTTTGTGTTTAAGGCTTCAATGGTTTTCTCAAACAGGTTCCTTTCAGGCTTTATTAAAGTTTCTTCAAGCGTTCCTTTTACGAGCTCAGGTGTTCCATGGCTCTTCGGGTGAGCATCGGGGGTAAGCGCAAAAGCGGTGGAGGAAAGGGCAAAGAGCTCTAGGAGCGCATCTGGGGGACTGGTTGCTGTTGATCGCGTCCGACACCTCGTTCGCTTCACCTGCGCTTCGGGTGGCGATTTGGTGCAGGCTTTAGGGTTCAGGGTTGACCCTCCAAGTAACCTCCCTGTTGCTGTCTGTCGAAAGGCCTGGATCGGCACAGCACTCTCCGAGCACCTCGAGCTTGCCCAGTCCACTGTGTACCTGGCATGGCAGGATAATGATACTAGGTAGCTTTTACATGGTGGCATAAAATTACAATGTCATTAGTGTACCAGTACAAAAATCACAAGAAGACCACCAACACTAGTCACAACGAAAAGTGTGTTACTAACTACTACTATTACTAGGTATAGTATAAGTACGTATGACTATTGTCGTTACAAATTCCCTGATCTAACTCTTATTATTGTTGCCATTATTACTGCTTTTGTGAAATGTCGGTACTGTTGTTGTCGATGTCGTGCCTGCTATTGCTATTGCTATCGTCATTATTACGAATAGTTATATTATTCTTAGGGTTTTTACGATTACTATGATTCTTGTGAGTCTTATGATTCTTGTGATTCTTATGGTTCGTATGACTCTTGTGATTCTTAGAACCCATCTGATTATTATGATTATTATGGCTATTCTGGCTGCTATTAATTTGGTTACTATGATTATTATGAGGATTATGATCACTATGATTAATATGATTATTAATTGTTGCTATGATGTTTATGACTATTATGAGTGTTATGACTCTTGTGATTCTTATGTTGCTTATGGCTCTTGTGATTCTCATACTTCTTGTGAATCTTAGGACTCTTGTGGTTCTTAGGCGTCCTATGATTGTTATTATTGGTATGATTGTTATGATCATGACGATGATTTTGGTTATTGCTGTATGACTATTATGATGACACTTTTTATTGTTGTTATTATGGGCGTTTTGATTGTTACGGTTCTTACGATGATTATGAATCTGATGATGCTTATGATGATTGTCATTATTGTGATTGTTGCGCTTATTTGTTATCGTTCGTATTAGTGTTAGTTGTCAGTGTCATGGTTACTACTACTACTACTACTACTACTACTACTACTACTACTACTACTACTACTACTACTACTACTACTACTACTACTACTACTACTACTAGTACCACCCACACCACCACTGCTGCTACTACTACGACTACCACCACCACCGCCACCACCACCACCAGAACGACTACTGCAACTACTCCTGCTGTTACTACTACTACCACTTGGTATTCTTTGACTCTGCTGGGTCTGTGAGGTTTACAGCAAGGGCATAACTCCTTTTCATATTTAGGGAACGGAAGATAGCCCCAAATCATAGCATACCGCTCACAGTCTGTCCGAATCGACCATGAGTGCACAAGTCATCTCCATCGTAACAGGAAGCAGTTGTACCCTGCCGCGTGCTCGCCATGCAGGCACCGTTGAAGAAAAAGCGGATGCCGTAGTTTGCTAGATGCAAATCAACTTTGCACGCAACACAGCAAAAGAAACCTGTACCACACCAAGACAGCACACAAAGAGTTCGGCAAGCAGTGCAACTTGTAGCATCCTTCCATCACAAACTTAAAACCGCGCAACCACATGCCCTTGATCAAAACAAGTCATCCCCAGCGTAACAGCCGGACTTGTAGAGCGCATGATGTAGGGTGCAGGGTAAGCCCTAAACCGGAAACCTGGAAAGCACGTGCCTCCTTCATCATCTCAGCATGGATCTGGGCGGTGCTTCGAGTTTAATGTAGGAGCCAGAAGGGGGGTTTCGGGCTCTACTTGGAGGTTCATGGGTAGTTATAAGTGGGGTTATAAGTAGGGTAAGTATACTTATAACTCATATTAGGGGACTTCTAACCCCACGTTTAACTACCCATGAACCTCCAAATGAAGCCCTAAACCCTATACCCTTGTAGAATCCTTACAGATCCCTTTAAAGAGACCCTTGACCCTTAAAGGTACTCGTAATTGATCAGGCCCACCGGAGGCTCCTTCGACTTGGATGTGAGTTTAGGCCTTCGAAGTACTGCTTCCTAGGGCTCTGCCCTGGTAGTCCCCATATACATATGTCTCTTACTCAATAACGGGGTCCAAAAAACTCTAAGAGAGACCGTATACATATACATATATATATATACATATATATAGATATATATATGAAGCCAGAACCTTTAAAGCTCTTCTATCGACTATGTAAGATCTGGTAAATATACCCTGTAAGATCTAGTAGAATATACCCAAGTGGTACTAGTATTCCTAAAGAATTTCAAGATCGGGTGTCTCTAAATGGGATGGAGGTAGGTAGGATTCATCCCAACTGTGGAGCCCTTTGTTAACATAGCTCTGCCGAAGGGAATGGCGTTTGCCAAGTCTCAGAACTCCGATTGGCGGCTCCCTATCCCCGAATCCGGGGCGGTTGAGGCTTTTGTTTAGGACCCTAAGCCCTAACCCCTAAACCCTAATTTAAACCCTAAACCCACCTTAATAAAGCCGGTTCTGCGGTTTTGGGGTTTAGGGGCTTGGGCCCTGAAGGGCATAAGGGCTTAGGGTCTAGGGTTTAGGGTTTAGGGTTTAGGGTTTAGGGTTTAGGGTTTAGGGTTTAGGGTTTAAGGTTTAGGGTTTAGGGTTTAGGGTTTAGGGTTTAGGGTTTAGGGGCCCGGATTAGCCAACCTGCGTCGACGCTGTGCTGCAGGCTCTCAAAAGGAGCTCGGAAAATAGATATTCAACCAACCTACGGAATAGAATTTCTAACTGGGGTATACGAAACCATATTATTTTCCATAGGGAGCATAAGGAAGTTATTACTACCACGAAGTATTCCTATCCCTTTTCTACGCAGAGCGAACGGCTCAGAGTTGGGACAGAAAGTAATGACAATCGAGGGCCCACAATAGCAAACCCCAAATGAGTAGTTGTCAAAATTAGGGTCCCTCTTTGCGTCCTTCATAGAATACGGCACCTAATATTCAGGGTACCCAAAATAGGACCATAATTTTGACAACTACCCTAAATCTTAAACGCCCTAAACCCTAAACCCTAAACCCTGCAAACTCGTCACCACGTCTGCAAAAGACGGCCTCGAAGCTCTCTCCTCCCATCACCTCTCCGGGTTCTGGGTTCCGCCACCCCCTTTAAAGGGATCTATAAGGATTCTATAAGGCTATAGGGTTCTGCGTTCCGCCACTACTACTTGGAGGGTCTTTAGGGGACTTAGTAAGTAGGGGGCTCCTTTATAGGGGATTCTAGGGGTTCCTTTAAAGGGGTCTATAGGGGCACTATAGGGTTTAGGGACTTAGCAGGTAGGTAGTAGGTAGACTTAAAAGTACCCCAAAAGGGACCCTGATTGGGGTTATGGTACTTATAAGTCCTTAAAATAACCGGTTACTAAGTCCCCCGACCCTGCAAGTAGGCCTACTTTCAAGGTCTCAGAGACTCCAGTATCCCTTTACTAAGGAATGTACCTTAAAATATAGTAGGATCCCTTACCTGTTTGATTTAAGTCATATTCCTTAGTTAAGGGATATTGGAGTCTCTGGGGTCTTTGTAGAGGTTCTACTTTCAGGGGCATTATAAGTTTTCTATGGACTGGAGGGTTTCACCGTTCAGCGCTTACCCAAAGACTCCAAAACCCCTTAATTAAGGAATATACCTTAAACCATAATAGGAACCCTAATTGATGTGATTTACGGTATATTCCTTAAGTAAGGGTTTTGGAGTCTCTGCGTATGCCTTTTTGCAGGACTTGGCGTCAATTAACAATTCCTCTGAGCTTGTGCTTCTGCTAAAGCCTACCTTCAGGTTCGTGGATAGTTACAAGCGGGGTTATAGAGTTGCTTCAAGGCTTCTCAAAGCTTTGCTTTAGGGTTTTATGGTGATTTATAAGATTTAGGGGTAGTTATTAAAGTGGAGTTCTAAGTCCGCAAATACGGGTTTTAACTATAATGACCCTACTTATAGCCCTACTTATACCACCCATGAACCTGCAAGTAAACCCTAAACACTGAACCCCTTAATGTAGGGGCCTTGACAATTACAATGCGGTTCTGCGGCCCATTAAGCGAGAATTATAAGAAGGAATCCCAAAACGGTATAGGTAAATATTCAAGCCCCTATATTCTAGAACCTTACTGTAGACCCCTTATAGACCCCTTTAAGTAACCCTTTGAAGGAACCCTATAGTAACCCTAAGCCCAAGACCCCCTCGCCACGGAGCGCCTGCCCGGGGACAGGGATCGACACGCGTGCGTAGGCATCGCACTGTGCGATCAGCGCAAACGGGATGAGGCGGCTGAGCATGACCTTGTTTTTCAACGGACGGTTTAGGGTTTAGGGTGTTGGGTTTAAGGTTAGGGTTTAGGGTTTAGGGGTTTAGGGGTTTATGGGTTTAGGGGTTTAGGGTTTAGGGTTTCAAGCATGACCTTTTGGGGCTTAGGGTTCAGGGCGTCGGGTATAATCTGTCCGGGCCTCCTGAACGCGTGGGTATGGACGAACAGCACTGGCTGAGGGCCTCTAAGCTAGAGTCCAAGAAAAAGTCAATAACCTTCGAGACACCTGAAATCCGAATTTCCCCAAAACCCTAAACCCCTAAAACCCCTAAAGCCCCTAAAGCCCAGAAACCCAGAAACCCCTGAACCCCTAGCAAGAACAGCCCTGCTTCATCCACAGGGCGTCCGATGCGGCGTGCTTCGGATTTCGGTGCAGAGGGCCGGGTTTCAAGGCAGGTTCTTGAGCCGGGGCCGATCCGAGGCCAGCACTGCTTTATGAAACTCGAGGGACCCTTCCGACCATCCCGTCCCCCTGCCCCCTTAAACCCCTAAAGCCCTGAAGCCCTAAAGCTCTAAATTTTTAAGCCCCCCGAAACCCGGAACCCCCAAACCCGAGGCCCTAAACCCGAAACCCTACAAGCCCCAGGACGAACGCTTCGGGGCTTTTGGAGGCATACCCAGAGAGCATGATTTCAGGTAGATTCCTTGATTAAGGGTTGTACCTCTTTGTGGATTCAGGTTGATTCCTCAATTCAGGGTTGTACCTGGTATGATGATTTCAAGTGGCGTCCTTAAGGAAGGATGCTACTTTATTATGGTTTCAAGTGGATTCCTTTATTAAGGATTATAGCTCAAGGAGGCTACGTCATTATGCTTCCAAGTAGGTTCTTAAGGATTTTACCTTATTATGACTTTATATCAGTTTCCCTAATTAGGGCTTGTACTTTGAAATCAGGTAGACTTCTTAATTAAGGGTTATATATCCTCATTGTGCTGTCAAATGTAGCTCTTAAAAAGGCGTCCATCGCATTTCTATGATTTCAGGTAATTAGATTCCTTAAGGTCAGGTAGATTCCGCAACTAAGCATTATACCTCCTTCTGATGCCAAGCAGATTCCTTAATTGAGGTGATGATCTGTTGATCTTCCAAAGACGTAATTTGTGTTTGTCAGGTATTGCGTACAAAGGGTCATGCATCAAATGAGTTTTTTGCTGGTTTGACTGCTTGTCGTCATCAGTATCATCTAAAGATCGCTCCGGATGCTGATGTTCGGCATGTGTTGGTTCGAAAAGAAACGGTTTTTGGCTTGTCAAGTTTTGCGTACAAAAGACAATGCATACAATTCGTTTCTTGCTGTTTTGACTGCTTGTCATCAGTGTCGTCAAGAGACAACGCTCTTGAGCCTGTCACAATCGGATACGACTTGTATGAACTATCACCTGGAACTGCAGTGCAGGCAAAGGGGTGGTTTATTCAAAACAGATTTATACCTCACTACGGTTGATGATACAAATCCTGCATTACCCATAATAAGGAATATGTCATAATTCCCATAGTTTAGGGTCCTTAAGGTCATGCAGGATTTATATCATCAACAGTATGGCTTCATGTGTATGCCTTCATGAAGGGATGCTGGAGTTTATGGCCGAGCGGCCTCGTGGCTTTCATGCGCCTTCAGCCCTGACCCCTTTTTGTGCTTCGATCATCCTCCGACAGGGCTTACGCTTATGCGCATGCTGTCGCAGGAAACATGTAGCAGGAGGACCAAGCGAAAAGCTGACTGGCACCACCCCTACTACTACAAATGCTACTATTATTATTACTACTACTACAACGACGACTGCTCTGCTACTGCTACTGGTACTCCTGCTCCTACTCCTACGAAAACCCCTACTCCTACTAGTCCTACTACGACTACTATTATTATTAATAATAATAGTACTAGTAGCCAGAGGACGGAAAAGGAAAAGACGACAAGGTCAGTCTCCCGAACGTTCAAAGAAGCCTTCAGCAGCTGCTTGTTTGTCACCGCTTCAGCAGTACACCCGAGAAAACGGCCGTGTTACAGGACAGACGAAGACATTGCTTCGACTGTTCAGACGAGCGCCAGCACCGTGTCGAGCTTTGGCGTCCCGGTGCCATTGAGAACACTAACCGTTGAACCCTGAAACCCCTAAACGGAACTTATTCAGACAAGCACTGCATCCTGGTCAGAAAGCCGGCGCTGGGGGGCCTGACAGAACGCGTCCTAGCTGAGCACGCAGTTTATGCTACGTAGTTGTAAGCACAGATGCGATGCAGGTATACAATCGCCTGAACTTGGTGCTGATGGCAATGCAGCTTACTATCATTCTCGGCGCAGTCGCTCGTACTGGTAAGGGTGGGGGGGTGGTGTAGTGGTGGTAGTGGTGGCCGTAGTGGTTGAGGCAGTGGCAGTGGCAGCGGTGGTAAGGTAGTTGTAGCGGTAGCGGTGGTGGGCATGATGGTAGTGGTGTTGGTAGTGCCGGTAGTAGGTCGTGGTAGAAAAAGCAGTAGAAGTAGAAGTAGAGCTAGAAGTCGTAGTTGTCGTCGTCGCGGTCGTAGAAGTACCGACTTTATCGCACCGACAAACACACGAAACAGCAGCAGCAGCAGCAGCAGCAGCGGCGGCAGCAGCAGCAACAGAATTGCTATTAACTGCTACTATTACACATATGCGTCGCGCGGTAATTGAGATGAACATGTCGCACTTACCAGGCACCGCGTAGCTCTAGAACAAGCATCCCACACCTTGACCTCACCCCAAAAAGCCTTCACGCACGTGCTACTTGGAGGTCCATGGGTGGTTATAAGTAGGGTTATAAGCCCCCTAATATGGGTTAAAATGAAAGTTACCCGACTTATAACCCTACTTATAACTTTGAGTACAGTGCATCAGGTCCATCCTATGCCTCGCAACCTTCTGCATCTCACACCGCGTACGCCAGGCACCGGTATCTGCACCCACCGGCCCCAGAAACTCCAAACGCCGAATTCGGAAGGTCGGAAGGCCCACATCATTCTAATAGCATCTTGTGGAATATCATAGTCTCAGTATAATGAGGACTCCTCAGGAAAACTCGTAAAATGTCCTGAGGCTACTACACTATCCTGCCATCTCAAACCTCTCGTAGACCATTGTCTAATTACATACAACAACGAACCCTCTTCCTACTTCTGAAACCTCACTAAACCCCAAACCCTAAATCCTAAACCGAAACAGTTATTGAGGATCTAAGATTATCCCCTCATGCTTACCTTCGGATAGCAGGGAATGGAAGAATGGTAGCAATAGTAGTTATAATCGTACCCCATTCCTCCATTCCCTACCTAGGACACCCAGTAACCTAAGAAAAAAATGCCTCTCTTTTTGGGTATGGGGTCACTTTATAAGGAACCTAGGACTACAAAAAGGGAATAAGAGTACTACTGGGCATCCTAGCTACTAACCAAAGGTAAGTTATAGGATTACTAAGGCCCCTATATTATAGTACCATTATGGATCCCTTCTAGTAACCCTTACAGACCCCTTTATAAGGCCCCTTCCCTTCCCTACTAACCAAAGCCCCATTCCTCCATTCCCTACTACAGTAGAAGCCAGAAAGTTGGAATATCATTATCGTAACCCCTTTAAGGTAAATTATAGGGGATCCTACCATTAATCCATATTCCAACTTTCTGGAGTTCCCTGTAACCAAAGCTAAGCAAGCATGGGGATCCCTCGCCTGTTCTGTTGGGGCACCCGCCACCTGCGCCGCCTGCTGCTCTTGCTTCGCCTTCGGGTCGGTATATGGGAGTTTCCGACTGTTAGGGGGTACCTTTAAAGGGATCCTTTAAAGGATTACTACAAGGGTACTATAAGGGTTCCTTTAAAGGGCTTTATAAGGGTTTAGAGTTCCCGACTATTAGGGGTAGCATATTTTGGGGTCCTGATATTAAGGATCCTACTACTTAGGGTACTATATTAGGGTCCCCTATTTTCGGGAACTCCCATAGGGTTTGAAGTTTACGGTTTGGGGTTTGGGGCTTCGGGTTTGGGGTGTGAGCTTTGTTTTGTTTTCACAGCGTGTGCGGTTTAGGGTTTAGGGCTTCTTTGGGGTAACCCTCGTGGGTTTACTAGAAGGGCACTTTAGGGTTTAAGGTTTAGGGTTTAAACCCTAATCTCTAAACCCTAAACCCTAAAATATTTAGGGTTTCGGGATTTTGGTGCTCTTTCTTCGCCTTCTCCGCTTCCTTTTTCTTCTGGTCCTTGATCTTTTGCATCTTCTCCTGAGGCAGGTGCCAGGATGTCAGGAACCCTTAAACCCCAACCCCTACAAGCCTAAAACCCTAAACTTGCCCTAAACCCGAAACCCCGAAACCTAAACCCGAAATGACATCTGAGACTAAACCCTGAAGTGGACTAGCCCAGGTGTCCTTGAACTTGGAGAAGCCATCCAAATCCACATCGCTCTTGTCAGAGCTCCAGTACTTGTTCCTGGGCAATCTGGGATTGGGTTAGGGGTTTCAAGGGCTTTGATTGAACTTTATAGGGTGCGGGGCAGAGAGCCCAATGAGACTGAACTGTGGATAAAGTTTCGAAACATTCCGGGGATCCCCTTAATGCAAGCGGTAGTGAAGTCATGAAACCTCTGGATTACCTCATGAGACTATTGTAAAGCCTTGTATGAAACCCTCTTCCAAAAAAACAACTAACAACCCGGAACTATACGGCAACACCCAAGAGGAATTTTTAGGCTTGGAGAAGTGAGGGAGTGTGCGGTCCCTGCTTGTTTGGGGCAAGGCCTGCTGGTACCAAACATGGTACTGTTTATGATATAAATCCTAGGGTTCCTTCTCAGGGATCTATAAGGGTACCTGTAAGGGATCTATAGGGTTTTGGGGTTGAGGTTTTAGGGTTGATGATAGAAATCCTGCATTACCTCCAGGACCCCAAACTATGGGAATAATGGTATATTCCTGTATATTCCTTATTATGGGTAATGCAAGATTTATATCATCAACCGTATGCTTAGAAAAATGGTCTGAGGTTTCTGGGTTTAGGGTTCGGAATGTGCTCTTGAGATCTTATAAGGGTCTTGCAAGGGCTAGGCTTTATACGTGCTTTACGGGGGCTTATGGAGAGTTTTGGGGTTTCTTACAGTGTCCAAAGAATCCCAACTAAGGCGTCCTTTAGGCTTTAAGCTTTCGGGAAGTTCTACGCTAGAATCCCGGGTTTTCCGAAACTCTCCTTCCAGGACGTAAGGGTCTTTCGAGATTTCATGTAAGGGTTCTACAAGTTGATGAAAACTTGGAGGGTCGGGGGACTTAGTAACTGGTGATTTTAGGGACTTGTAAGTACCAGAACCCCAATTAGGGTCCCGTTTAGGGTGCTTATAAGTCTACTTACTACCTACTGACTCAGTCCCTGAACCCTAAACCCTATAGTACCCTTATAGAGCCCTTTGAAGGAACCCTTATAATCCCCTTTAAAGGAGCCCCTACTTACTAAGTCCCCCGACCCTCCAAGCGCCTCGAATCAGCAGCCCTTCGGACGCCTGGACCGACCCTCAGAGCACTGCCTCCGATCTAGAACGGCTCTCCCTAAACTGGAGCTCAGGGTTTAGGGTTTAGGGGTTAAGTTAAGCAGCAGAGTTAGTAGAGTTTTCTGGCGTTCGAAGTACTGACTTAAACCAAAACCCCGCGTCAAAAATGGCCAATACCTCGTGGAAGGCTCGTGTACACGAAGAGGTAGCCCACATTGGGCTGGCTCGAGCATTTGTTGAAGGCCTTCACGGCAGGAACCGACGCCTGGCGGGCATGCAAGACCGAGTGCGGTCAATCGTTCGACGCAAACCCCTAACTAAAGCCTAAACCCCAATTTAGGACGCTCTCGCCGTCTCTAGTGTCAAGTCGTATGATGGCTTGATAGGGTATATGCGTTTTTGTTTATCGAGGTGCACAGGCTCAATATTCCATGCCTTCGGCGCCTGAGTAGTTAGAAGAGGGCGTTGCAGGTATGATACAGGTATATCTGTATATATGTATGTAGGTATGTGTATATATATATATACATAGAGGGAAACAGAGAGAGAGTGTGAGCATAGTGAAACAAGGGCAATTAAAGATACTACTGATTATTCCAGAGTATCTTCACTCGATGGGGGTACTCAGGGCTCCTGAAAATCGAACAAACAGACAGAGTAGATGGGCCTTTCTGATTAGAAGCGGGCTTTGGGTGTAGATTCTGGTATAGTTTTCTTGAGGTATCTGAACGAATTACATCCGTAATCCTTCTTTTAAGGACTTTCAGTTTGGTTTCTGGGCGCCTGGGAGTGGCTTCCAGAAAACTAAGCAGCCGTGAGATCTTCATGACCATCTGCCCTTTCGGGACCCTCATCGGGTTTAGGGTTTTCGGTTGGGGGAGTTTCCGAAAAATAGTGGATCCAAATATAGTGACCCAAATAGTAGGACCCTTATTAATTATAAGGACCAAAAAACAAGGTACCCCTAATTTTCGGAAACTCCCAATCCACCCATGAACCTCCAAGTGGTTCTTCTCATGAATTGCCCAGGGCCTCCAAAACCCCTTAATTAAGGAATATACCTTAAGTTATAATGGGATCCCTTATATGGTTTAAGGTATATTCCTTAATTAAGGGGTTTTGGAGGCGCTGGGTGAGACTGAAGTTGCTCTAAACCCCAGCAGTAAGCTGACCACTAACACCGGAGAATCTCAATTCTGGGAAACTATAAGGCTATAAGGGATTCTGGGAAACTATAAGGCCATAAGGGACACCGGAGCCTCAATAATCAGACTAGGATTCTGGGAAACTATACGTAGGATGCCCAGTAACCTAGGAATGAAAAGGGCTCCCTTTTTGGTATTGGGTAACTTTATAAGGAACCTGGGACTACAAAAAGGGAATAAGGGTCCTACTGGGCATCCTAGATAAGGGATACGGATACTCTAGTATTTTGTCCGAGCCCGACATAAGTTTTGACGACTGGGTCTGGCAGTGCAGTCGTGGCACCATGCCGTCGAACTGGAGAACCCTCAGTGGGCTCCGGGTTAGCCGTACGCCATACACCAGAACAGGGGTGTCGGGGAACGCACTGATTCCGGCGCAGTTTCCTCCAACAGTTTGGGGGTGGTTCCTTTCTGTATTCGACATCAGTGTGGTTCCGCGAACCAAAGCCCGAAGGCCTTGCAGCCCTTGAGTTGGGTCAGCAACTACATGCAGTAGAATGATCGTCAAGGCACGCATCTTCGTCATCGCCATCATCACGAACATAAAAACCTCCATCATATGCTAACACTGATCCACCAATCTTCAACAAAACAGAACACAAGAACTAGAACTGAAAGGGATCCTAAAGCAGAAGCCTAAGTATTTCTAGGATCTTCAGAGCTTAAGAACCCACACGAGGTAATGCAGGAGGCCTTGAGGGCCATAAGAGCGTTTGCGAGTATATTATACCATAAGCAAAATCAGGAACCCTGGAGAACAATAGTAGTACTTCTTTAAGCCACATCGTGCCCCCTACCTTTCTGAAACTGCATATGTTTCCTGGGACCGGTCTGTATCTTGCGGCGAAGTCTGCACCAACAATCCAACGCCAAAAAAGCTGTGCCACAGCAGGGGCTCGAACGATTCGCAATACTGCTCTTGAGGGTTCCTTATACATGCAACTGCAATATGATGTACCCCCGAAGACCCTGCAGTTGTTACGGCCTCTGTGTTACCCCTATACATCGCCGTATAGGGAACCCTTTCCTGATTCTTGAGGCCGCTAGAACAGCATCGGGGATTCAAGAACAAAAGCAGAAGCTCCTGCGTTGGCTCTACTACACACCCATGCCTGAAAGGACTCTTATCAAGCCTCTACCGAGCCTCCGCAAAGCCACTATAGAACCCTTTTAAAACCCCTACAGATCTCTCATAGCAGCCCCTATGAGAAACCCACAAGAAGCCATGACATGTCCACCACAAAAGCTGGCGAGCGTCTTTTTGGTGGCAGCTGCTTTTCCGCCAGTGGCGATGTCAGCGACAACATTCAGGCCGCCCAGCTTGATTATTCGCTCCTCCTCCAGTGCATCACGCATAATAGCGTCACTACTTGGAGGGTCGGGGGACTTAGTAACTGGTTATTTTAGGGACTTATAAGTACCATAACCCCAATTAGGGTCCCTTTTAGGATACTTATAAGTCTACATACCACCATACTAAGTCCCCTGACCCTCCAAGTGGCATTATATGGGGGTTTCCGAAAATTATGGGGCGCCTAGCATAGTACCCTGAATAGTAGGATCCTCATTACAAGGACTGCAAATAAGGCTCCCAATTTTCGGAAACTCCCAGATGGGCTCCATCTTCAAGGGAGTTTATAAAGGTCTTTTATAATGGGATCTTTTCAAAGGCCCGAGTATCAAGGTTCGGATAAGAGGCTTTCTATAAAGGCTTCCTCCAGGAAGTCTTTTTGGGCTCCTATTTTGGGATTCCTCTGACGGTGTCAAAAGCGTTACCGGGTTCTAAGAGCCCTTGGGGGTGCGTGGAGGGCTTAACATACCAATACCTGAACCCTACACGGCACAAGAGCCCTAAACTCTAAACCCCTCTCAAAAAACAAATTTGTTGAAATGAAGAACCTCCACAAAATTGTCGAAAACCGCTACGAACTCCCTAAAATGCCCCAAACTATTCTAGATACACAAAAAATCGCCAAATACAGCTAAATACACAGCAAAACCAGGCCAGTCGCGAGTTCCGGAACAACCTACTTGGAGGGTCTTTAGGGGACTTAGTAACTGTAAGGGGTTCCTTTAAAGGGGTTCTTTAAAGGGATCTATAGGGATTCTATAAGGGTTTAGGGTTTAGGGGGACTTAGTAACTGGTTATTTTTGGGGACTTATAAGTACCATAACCCCAATTAGGGTCCCTTGACTGTAGGGTCCTTATAAGTCTACTTACTACCTACTTACTCAGTCCCTGAACCCTAAACCCTATAGTACCCTTATAGAGCCCTGTGAAGGAACCCTTATAATCCCCTTTGAAGGAGCCCCCGACTTACTAAGTCCCCTAAAGACCCTCCAAGTAGGAACCCTAAACCCTAAACCCTAAACCCTAAACCCTAAACCCTAAACCCTAAACCCTAAACCCTAAACCCTAAAGTCTTTGCAGTTGGGACGCCTTCCAAAGGCCCTTCAGGTTGCCCTCGTTGATCCGTGTCATGCCCTCATAGCACTTGTCCATGGGGCCCTGCCCCAAGTACCTACTTAGCGGTCTAGGGTTTAGGGCTTAGGGCTTAGGGTTTAGGGTTTAGGGTTTAGGGCCCAGGGCCCAGGGGACTTAGAAAGAAGGTTATATAAGTGGAGTTAGAAGTACCCTAGGTGGAGTTACCCCAGTTATAACTATTTTCACCGACTTACTAACTCCCCTGGGCCTCAAAATAGGGGTTCTCTTCGGGTTCAAGGCGTTATTTAGGGGCCCCAGTACCTAGGGTTTACCGCTTAGGCTTGAAGATGTTTGGGGCGATACTGGGAAAAGCAAGGCGATTCAGTCGCTTCCAGCCACGGCCCAGGCACTTCAGTGTTCCAAGGTTCTGCTGCAAAATCTGCATGACCACACCGTAGGTCGCAATTTTGCCCTTCGTCATACCGACGACGTCATCCTGGTGAACGGCGGGCAGCTCTGCAGCTTCCGCTATTTCGGTACGGGCAGTTTGGAAGTACATGCCGATTGTCGGCTCCTGCTTGGTCTCCTGCTACTCCGACTCCCACTACCCCTACCCCTACCCCTACCCCCATCTCTGCCGCTGCCACTGCCACTACCACTACCACTCCCACTGCCACCGCCACTACCACTGCCACTACCACTACCCTACCACCACTACTACCACTACTAGCACCACTACTGCCACCACTACCACCACTACCACTACTACCACTACTACCACTACTACCACTACTACCACTACCACTGCCACCACCACAACAACAACTACTACTTCTGCTTCTACTACTACTTCGACTACTTCTGCATACTTCTACTTCTCACTCTACTTCTACTTCTACCTCAGCTCCCACTTCTACTTCTTCTAAAACTACCACTACGACGACTACTGCTAGTTCTTCGGTTTCTACTACTACTTCGACTACTTCTACCTCTGCTTCTGCGTCTACGTCTAGGTCTAAGTCTACGTCTACGCCTACGGCCTACGTCTGCGTCTACTACTTCTACTTCTACTACTACTACTACTACCACCACTACCACGTGCTGCTGCTACTTCTACTTGCTACGGTTACTGCGACGCTACTGCTGAGCACCACTACCACTGCCACTACTACCACCACGACGACGACTAGGCACGTAGCATTGGCGATTCATCATGTCACGATAGAGAAATGCCTCTCAAGCCTTCCTCGGCGTCACGCCCTTGTACTCTCGGGGGACTTCAACAACACATGCAGTCCTGTGCCAAAGGTCTGTGGACCACACGTGCTGCCGGTTGTGGAATCACACAAGTTCGATTACATGGACTGGCTCCACCTATGTGAGGCGCAATCTCTAGTGGTTCTTAACTCTTGGAAGGCTCCGTCTGCTGCACATACTCTTGCCACCTTTACATTCGGTAAGCTCCAGTCGCAAATTGACTATGTGATGGTCAGGCAAAGCATGGCCAACGCTGAGGCCAAGCAGGCGGGGGTCATTCGCAATTACCCGGTGGCCAGCTGGCGGGAGGGGGCCAATCACCATGCAGTGGAGGCCACTCTACCTCTTCCTCGGCCTCATTGGCTGTCCAGGCCGCAACCACCTGCTGCTCATAAAATCAACATGCCCCAGATGATAGCGGACCTAAGGGCTACCACTCCTACCCCGGCGCTACGTGCCTTCCGAGACGAGGTTGCAGAATGTGTCCAGCCGGACCTACACATGATGGATAATGTCGTCCTTCAGGCAGCGCTCAAGCACTACCCCAAAAAGGAGCCGCCGCAAACGCCGCCGACTCAACCTGAGGAACTAGCAAGCAGCGCTAGACATCTGTGGGCACTGCATCGGCAAATGAAGGCGCAGAAATTCACAGCCAAGGGCATCGTGGAGGCCTGGAAACTCTGGGCTCAGTTCGCGAAAGCTCACAAAATCTACAAACACAGGGCCAAAGTGCGATCGAAGGTCAGACGAGATGAACTTCTACAACAAGCCCAACAAGCTGCGGACAGGGGCAACTCTCACGAGATGTGGAGTGTGATTAAACGCCTAGCACCAAAAAGCAGACACAAAAAGGTCCAGCTCTACAAGCACGGCCATCTGATGACCCCCACAGCGGAGTTAGATTGGATCGCGGAGGCTTTCGGGGAAAGATTCGGGGCCCAGTTCTCTAGTGAGCCTGGGGCACTTCTACGTCAACATGTGCCTGTTCAACTTCAGGAGGACTACGTGCTCGAGGAGCTCCTGAATATTCCTGTTCGGAAGGCTGTCCCTCCTGGGGCCGTTCCCGCGATTGCGTGGCGAGCATGTGCTGCACAGATTGTTCACCCTCTGGTCCGGAAGGTGAACGAAGACTGGCGAGCAGCACAGGTCCGAGTTCATCAGGATTGGGCCAAGGCAGATGTTGCGCTTCTTCCCAAAGGGAAATCCAATGCTAGCTCTCCACTGGACCTCAGACCCATTGGTTTGCAGCATCCGGTGGGGAAAACCATCATGAAGGTTGTTCTCTCGATGGCAAAGGAGGAAATGGTCGAAATGGTGCGGAAGTGGCCTCAGACGGCCTATCTGCCAGGCCGGTCCACTACTACGGCTTTGAAAACTGTCTTTGCTCACTGCGATGCTGTCAGAACACAATGTGCTCGTACCAGGCGGAGCTTGCACGACAAATACGACGGGATCACTGCCCCTGCTTTCACAGGCGGGCTCCAGGTAAGCCTGGATTTGACTGCAGCTTTTGATTTAGTAGGATGGCAGCATATCAAGCATGCGATGGAGATGGCGCACATCAATGAATCTGTTCAGGAACTTCTCCTACAGTGGCTCCGCCAAGTGATCTACGTGTTTCATCACGGCCGGGATTCAAGGTCGGTGCGGCCCCATTGGGGACTCAGACAGGGATGCATTGCGTCCCCTATGCTGTGGAGCATCTTTACGGCTCTTCTGTGTCAGGCTTTTGATGTCCAGCTACGTGAAAGCTGGTCGGGAGAACATGCTGTACTGTATGCCGATGACTCACACCTAAGGTGGCAGTTTAGTACATTCATGGGTTTGGAGAAATCCATCGCGGAGCTCAGGATCATTCTGAAGATCTTCGCTCGGTTTGGAATGAAGGTGAACGAGAAGAAGACCCGGGCACTTCTGATGGTCACGGGCAGTGACAAAGGGAAGGTGCACAAACACTATGTTCGTACTGGACACGAGGGCAAGCGCCTTCTACTGTCGCCGAAGGATCCTACCAGATGGCTACCGCTGGTCACTCAGGCTCAGTATCTGGGACTCATCATTGCCTACGATCGATTCGAGGCCCTCTCCACGCGCCACCGCATCTCCAAAGCGAACCAGCGCCGGTGGGCTCTCGCCCCGGTGTTGCACTCTCGTCGGCTTGGGGTGAAATACAAGTTGCAGGTGTGGCGTTCATGCGTGCAGTCGACGCTCCTCTACGGGCTCCATGCTTTTGGCCTGACGCCCAAGTTGATGCGTGAGATCCAAGCCACTGCGATGAAACATGTTAGGGCTGTGGTATCGGACCCCAGACATGTTACCGGCCATACACATCAGGAAGTTCTTGCTCAATACAAGCTGGAGGACATGCACACCCTCATCAGCCGGGCACATGATCGAGAACGGGCAGATGGTGGGGACCCTGACTGGATGACTCTGCCGGCCTGGAATGATCATATCACCCAATGTTTGCAGGAAGTGGTGGTGGCCAACTCTGGCCAAGATCAGGACTCTGAGCCTGAACACTGGGCATGCCCGGAGTGCGATTCCTTCTTCTGCACGGCGGCTGCCTTGAAGATCCATGCACAAAAGGCACACGGTATCTACAACAAGCCTCTTCGTATCTTCGATAGAGCTCGACATTCAGTCAAAGGATTACCTACGTGTAGGTTCTGCGAGCGGAGATTTGCTAGATGGCAAACGCTGGAGCATCATGTAAACGCCTTGGCTTGTCCCAGCATGCTTGTGGAACAAAAACTGGATGAGAGTGGTCACACCAGCATGGAAGTCCGTATGCCGAGCCTTCATATGGATGATGAGGGTGCTGAAAAAGACTGCGCTATCAACGATGTTCCCGCGTCCCCTACGGTGGTCGCTGATTCAAGACCTCTCGCGCAACAGCTCTTGGTTCAACAGACTGCACATCAGGGGCTCCGATTCTTCATACAACAGCCTCAGATCACACGGCAGTTACACCAGCATTGCGGACTTTGTGGACAATGGGTGGCATCGCAAAAAGTGATGAAACTTCACTATCGCAACACGCATCCTGAGATTTTTCCAGCTAGGCAGAAGGACATTTCACGCATTATTGAACTGAGTGCTACTCCTAGCATTCGCTGTCATTACTGCGGATCGTCGCCCAAGGACTGGAAAGCTCACATGTACAAGTGTACCACCATTTGGCAATGTGCTGTGCTGTGTTTGCCCCAGGAAGTCGCAAGTGGCACCAAACATGTTCGGGCCTCGCGACCAGGAGATGGACGAGTTCTTTGGGGCGGTTCGTGCAGGGACAGAAGGGACCCCGGGGTACCAGGGGGAGGGAGATCAGAGCATGAATCCAAAACGGAGGCGGGAAGCTGCGGTACATACCGACTGGGGCAGCGGATCCGGATGGGGCAACCATCAGTCGAACTCCCACCACTACCCTCAGCACCATCACTATCCAAAACACCACGGAAGGGATCCCTTGATTTATTCTTTGGCAAGGGTCGTGCTTCAGCAGGAGCAGGAGATCAATCTGCTGAAACAGGACACATCGTTGGTTCTGTGGTTCAGTCCGGGGGGCGACTCGATTTTGGGTCATCTCTACCGTACAGCCCTGGAATTCAAAAAGAAGCAGGCTGCCGAGCCCACTTGGGGAATGGCCCACATGCCGTTGAAACAAGTTATGGCTCTCTCGATGTTTCGCGAACTAAAGGACCGCCACCACAAGGTTCTCAACACCAAGGAGTTGCTTCAGCGAGCATTGGAGATGGGATGGCGGGACGCTCAGGGCTGGCACTTTCAGCAGTGGAACCCGAAGCTAAAGCATCTGGAATTGGACAAATCTCGACCACAACTCTCAGACGTGGACATGTCGAACAACCTGGAGGTTCTGACGGAGCATGTAAAGAAAGATGTGGTGCATCGCTTTCACTGCACACGACGCTTGACAGAGACCATGGACAGCAAGGCCACTTTCAAGCTGGACCTCTCAGTTCGGAACAAACATGCGGAGGAGATTTGGGACATCCTGATCGAGCTCCAGGGCTGCTGCGTGTTTCAGTTGATCGGTTTGGGTTACAGGCGGGAGCGACTGGGCAAGGGACCTCTTTACCAGAAGATACAGGAGCAGCTCCGGTATTGAGGCGCGTCTTTGTGAATCAGGCGAATGCTTGTTACATGAACGCTACGGTGCAGGTGATGGAATGGCTCCTCTATGTCACTGGTGATGGGGCGGATGCGTTGGGGACAGGCGCTCTTTTCTTCGACTCTGCTGAAATGCGAGGGCAATGTATAAATCTTATGCAGGTTCGGGAGTGGCAAACACTTGTCACTGGCTGGACGGAGGCTCACAGACAGCATGATATTGCTGAATTCTTGGGTTTTCTGGTTGGTGGCATGGCTCCCCCTCTATTTCAGGGCATCTGGCAAGCACGAAGCGTTGCCGAAGGGGGACATGTACAATGTATCGACCAGGGGCCCTGCACTCAGATGCTTATGTTGCCACTACCTCGTGAACCACCTGGTCTTCGCGTGACGGTCAAGGTACAGTTGATGATTGATGCATGGCAACATGGCCGGGATCGGACACAAGGCTTGCACCTGCCGCCTCGCATCCTAGCTGTTCAACTATTGAGATTCAGCCAACACGGGGGGCATGTCACAAAGACGCGCATGGAGGTGGAGCTGGGGGACTTTTGGCTCTCCGTTCCGACTTTCTCCAATGAGGGGCTTGAGCGGACACATGTGCAGTACCGAATGAGTGCTTATATTGTTCATCATGGGCTCACGCCTAGATGTGGTCATTACACGGCTGCTTTACTTGATCACTCTAAGGGCATCTGGCTTTGCGATGATAACCGCACTCCTCAGTTACATACATGTTCTCCGCCGTCTCATCGAAAAGATGTTTACATACTGATGTATCAACGTATGGACCCTAACTGACCGGGTCATGCTGATGAACGGCGGTTTTCTTGAAGTGCTACGCTCCTAGGCCTTACGAGGCGGTAGCACATGTCAGGAGTCAACCGAAACAGGTTGAGCGCCATAGTGCGCCGGGGACGAGTCCCGCTCATACTCGTCGCACGGCGGACCCTCTCCGCTGCGAGGAAATCTGAAAAAATCTACTACCACTACTACCACTACCACTGCCACCACCACAACAACAACTACTACTTCTGCTTCTACTACTACTTCGACTACTTCTGCATACTTCTACTTCTCACTCTACTTCTACTTCTACCTCAGCTCCCACTTCTACTTCTTCTAAAACTACCACTACGACGACTACTGCTAGTTCTTCGGTTTCTACTACTACTTCGACTACTTCTACCTCTGCTTCTGCGTCTACGTCTAGGTCTAAGTCTACGTCTACGCCTACGGCCTACGTCTGCGTCTACTACTTCTACTTCTACTACTACTACTACTACTACCACCACTACCACGTGCTGCTGCTACTTCTACTTGCTACGGTTACTGCGACGCTACTGCTGAGCACCACTACCACTGCCACTACTACCACCACGACGACGACTAGGCACGTAGCATTGGTGATTCATCATGTCACGATAGTTCTCTTCTGCCATGCCCAGCCACAAGGGTCTTGTCATGAGAGTTCACAGGAACAACAGCAGTAACAACAACGTCATCGACAACCACAACTGCAACCACGACTACAACCACAAGCACAACCGCAACCTGCCACAACATCCACCACAACCGCAACGCACAACCACAACCACGACCACAGGCGTCATGTCCGCCATCATCTTTAGACACATGAACGCTTACCAAATTTACGCCAAAGCTTGTAGCAGCCTACAGAACCCAAGATAACTGCGACAAAACGATATATGTAGCCCTCGCTAAAACCTTGTCAAACACTCACTTTTAGCCTTGCAAAAGACGTTGAAACCCGTTTCGAAACCCGTTCGGAGACCTATCGGGCTTTGAAGACTTCTCGGAGACTCCAATATCCCTTCATTGAGGAATATACCCCTAAGGGTTCCTTAAAGGGCTCCTTAAAGGGATCTATAAGGGTGGTGTGCGGGAATTATGGAATATACCTTAAGTTACAATTGGGTCCCTAATATGATTTAAGGAATATTCCCTCATGAAGGGATATTGGAGTCTCTGGGTTAGAGCCGTTGCAATAGACCATAAATTCCTAGACGGGCAGTGCCTACTCGATGGCACCCAGCATTGGCTAAACCCCCCCCAAAGCCCGCCCCCCTCCACCGCCCCCAAGCCCAGAAACTCGGCCAAGATGCTGTTCTTGGTGCGTTTTCGCTCTCCCACTGAGCCTCTAAACGCCGCAAACCGACTCCAGCGGCCAATCGTCATATTACAACGATACACTTGGAATTTACAGGTTTAGAAGTTAGGGTGTCGCCTATGGGCTATTCCACGGCAAACCTTGAACCCTAAACCTCGAACCTGAACCCTAAACCCGATACCCTAAACTCTAAACCCGTCCTGGCAGATGCCGGCAGGCACACAATTCGCCGCATAGCCATGGTCAGCGTGGGCGACATTCTCGAAAACGAAAAAATAGGAGCCTTGGGCATTCTGGGTTAAGGGCTTAGGCGTTTAGGGTTTAGGGTTTAGGGTTTAGGGTTTAGGGTTTAGGGATTAGTGCCATCTTGTACCTCTTAGGGTTTAGGGACCCCACGCCCTAGGCTCAGACTTTTAAAATTTCGCCTTCTTCGGAAGTCCTCCTTTCGGCTGACACCTGTTGCTAGAACCTATAAAACCCCATGGTGATCCTAAACTCATTGAACCTCCGCACCCCTAGTAAAACCTATAGAACCCTAAGTATCAAAACCCAAGATCCGAACCGAGAAGCAACACACCCCTAACCTTTAAAGGGAACTCCAGAAAGTTGGAATATGGTTGCAGGGTAGGATACCGTTTAATTTACCATAAAGGGTTTAGGATAATCATATTCCAACTTTCTGGCTTGTACTTTAAGCCCTGAACCCCTAAACCCAGAGACTCCAATACCCCTTAATTAAGGAATATACCTTAAATTATAGTAGGATTCCTTATATGATTTAAGGTATACTCCTTAATTAAGGGATATTGGAGTCTCTGGGTAAACCCAAAGCCCTGTACCCGAACCCTCAGCCCTAACTCCTTAACCCAAAAATCTACATCCTAAACCTGAAACCTTGACCTTGAACCCCCCTTACACGAACCCTATACCCTGAACACAAACCCCTTAGACCCAATACGCCAAACGACCCTAAACCCTGAAACCTGAACCCTGACCCCCGCCCCACCTGAAGGAACCCTGAGCCCTACCCCTACGCCTCGTTAAAGGAACTTATGGAAACCCCAGACCTCCTAAAGGAACCTTTAAAAGGACTCTAAACCCTGAACCCCGGACCCTAGCCCCTCCTGACCCCCACTTCAAGGGACCCTAGACCCTGAAATCCCCCATCCCAGGTATGCGCCAAGAGGCAAAACTGGTTTCCTCTCCCAGATTTTTCGGCCTCGGGGAGCCGCTGAGGCCCCTGAAATAAGGAAGAGACCTTAAGATCTAAGGGCCTAATCTATCTGAATTATAGAGATTATGCAACCGTTTCTGAGTCAATGCGTGCAAACAAAACACAAAGTTTAGGTTTTCGGGTTTAGGGTTTAGGGGTTGGGGCTATACATCAAAATCTTATGATTCAAGGTAGTTTCCTTCAAAGAACACGACGAAACCCTGCAAACCTTATAGAGGGGACCCAGGTATGCTCCTTCATACAACAGCATAAAACCCTGTAAACCCACCAGACGCGGCGACGCAAAATTGAATGTAAATTCTCCAGTTCTGGAGCCCCTTGAGGAAACTCCACACCCTGAACTCCTAAACCCTAAACCCTCAGCCCTAGCTTAGCTTTTGGGCCTCGGAGATTCGACGGCAGTTCGTTTCTTCGAAGACGTCTTTCTTCACCGCACCAGTCCCGCCATAGAGCCTCACTTCAAGGATCGTGAGACGGGTTCCAAAAGACTCTATACGAAGAAAAACCAAAATGCTAAAATTCCCAGCACAATCTGGTCCCTATTCGCTAAAACCTCAACCGAATGCTGAACACTTCATCTGGGTACTTGTTGGTGTTGATCTCGGTCGCCACCTGATCCGCTTGACCTGTCAACGTCGATGCTTCGCACAGGATGGGGCATTCATAACTTACGGCTTAGGGTTCCTAAGCAGGATATTATATCATGGAGTCCCTTGAGGATTCTGTAAGGTGTTCTGTAGGGTTTTGAGAAAGGGGAATAGAAGTTTGGGGTGTATTATGCTATATTCACAACCAGGAACGCTCAGGAATACATGTGTCATTGTTTTGGCTTCTATGTAAGAAGGGTTAAGGGTCGGGGCTACACTACTGATGTCCACTGACTGTTCGTCTTGTCAGCACATGCGACTTATGCCGTTGCAACAGAGACCTTTATGTCAATCATGATAAGAAGACAAGGCGCCAATACCCCTCAGCTACACAGAATATGCCTTACATCCTATTAAGAAGAAACAGCAGAAAAGAAAACAAAAGACACTAATAATGTGTGATAGTGCTAACAAGAATAGGAATCAAAAGGCCCTAAAACTAATTGAATACTCGTGAATTCAGCGGGGCCCCTTGACCTCTGTAGGGCAGCAGCAAAGGTACTAGCACCAACATCCTGAAGCCTTATTGGAATAGGGTTTCTGCAAGAGTTTTATAAAGGTGCTAACAGAATATATGAAGGCCTTGGTCGTTGGAATAGGATTCCAGGGCATAGTATACTACAGTCCGCCTCGGCACAGCTCGAGGTTGCCCTCCCCCTTGTCCCCTCCCCCTCCAGAACCGGACGTGCAATACCCTGAGTTAAGGAATATACCTTCAATCAAAATACGAATGCCCGCATAGTTTGAGGCATATTGCTTAATTAATATCGGGCTCTGAGGGTATCTCAGGCCCCCACGACCTGACACCACTACGCACGAAAGTGGACTTGGGGAATGCGCCCTAAACCCTGTAACAAGCACCCCTAAAATCTCAACTCCTATGAATATCTATGGGGCCGACAAAGCCGAGTTGAAAATTATGACTGCCTTCTGTAAGTCCTTAAAAGGTCGGTTCTGGGAGGGTTTAAAGTAATTACCGAACCCAA